TACATATTCTATTTTTAAATTACATTAATTTCTAATTACAAATGAGCCCGTGAAAGCATATTTCCACTTACAAAAACAAAATTCATAATCATTTCCAGCTTGCTTTCTTTGGCCCTTTCCTGGTTTCCAGGCTACCCCTTCACCCTGGACATTGTCCCAGCCTGGGTCCGTTAGGACGTCATCACATGGCGCTTCCAGGCAAGTGCAATAACTTATCAGTGGGCCACCTGACTGGCCTCTCCTCACCCTGTACAGACAACAGGCACAGACACTCTATTCTCCTGAGGATTAGGGCGTCTGCCTCTCTAAGAACAGACCTTAATTACAGGGGCGCAACTGCCATTCAGGGTGGGTCTCAGCTAAAACCTACTTTCTGTAGAGCAAAGAAGAACCACCCTAAATGTGGCCCCAGCCAGGGGCTGACAGAAAGCTTGGCTAGAGTGGAGCACTGGCTGCCGCCAGGGCAAGGAAACAGGGCCCAAGAACACTGTCAGCAAACGACGAAGCTAGGTGGTCTAATTTCTAACACTCACTGAATAATTGAGTGGCTTCCATGTTTGAAAACTTACAACCTTGAAAAAGAAATGGTAAAATACGCTTTCTCACAAGGGTCTGGCTGCCGTTGGCAAATGGGGTCTGTCAAGTGCCCACATGGAAACCAAGCCGAGGGCAGGTCATGGGGCGATCTAAGCACAGCTCCCACCAGCCCCGGGGAAGGGCACACGTCACATCACGGCACCAACGTGCAAGCTTACGTCAGAGGAAACAAGTTCTTTTTCTTTCTTCCTCACATCCCCAATATCTGTATTATTAAAGAGACTATCAAGAACTCCCAAATATATGTAGATCGCAGCAACATGACCAAGGCGCCCCGATAACTTTCAGAGCTTCAGTGTTTGCTCAACAGTGAAAAACATCAAAGAGCTGGGGTGAGAACGACAAGTTACGAGCAGCCTACCTAGTTACACAGCTGAGGTCAGCTTGCCCCAGACTGTGCGGGCTCCCGTGGTATGAGTCCAGAATGCAATGTACCAGACAACTCCTGTGTCTGCTGAGGGACCTGTCATCGTTTCATCTTTAAAACAGGGAAACTGAACTAAGTGATCCCAAGTCCCACTGAGTCTCCTAACCCCAGACAACAGTTTCCCAGTGAGAATGACAGACTGATGCAGGCCTCACAAGAACCGGATCTCGTTATTTTAAGCAGGAACTGCTTTGTGAAGGCTGGGAACTGGGTACGGGCAGCAGGCCATTACAGAGAGACTGACTACCTGCTCTCATCATGCCGGTCAGGTGGCTCAACTGCTCTCACACAGAAGCAGAGGCCCCAGGAAGAGCCTCTGACCGCCTCACCGCCTTTCAGTGGGCACTGTCTTTGAGAACTGACTGTGGTCAGGGATGGCGCGGACGGACAGAAGCGCTACGATCAGTCCGTCTGTGATCCTTTGGTTTCACCTTCTCTCTGATCTTGATGGACAAAAAATATTCTTTAAGAAAAAAATATTCTTAAAATATCTGGGAGAGAAAGAAATACCAGTGACTCTGAGGAAGACAAAGAGGAAGAATCACAGGAAGTGAATTCTATAGTTTAAAACTAGCTTTCCAGATAGTCTGAATTTTGTTTACAAATTCATTCCGTAGCACAAGGTAAAGCCAAACAGTCCTAAGACCAGAGTCGAAAAGCAATTCATACTTACCAGGCAGTTTTTAGATCTTCCAATGCTGTGAATTCTCTAGAAAGGTAACAGTCTCACTTTATAGACAGGGAAATTACCAAAAGAAAAATCTTGGCTCTGCCACCTTCACTTACAGAAGGTACAGCACTTAAGAGAGACAGATTTCTTTGGGAGTTAGACTGGATTTCTCTTCACAGCCCTTAATCTCACGAGGTGAGAAGGAGGGGAAGTTGCCAAGCTGTTGGCTCCCAGACCCACCAGTCTGTTTAACTCTGGCTAAAAGCAGAGAATAATGGGCAAGTTACCAAGTTTCTCCCCCGTCAGCTCTGGCATGAAGATCCTCATGTAACACACAATTGCCACACCGTGGTGCCACACAGGGAGCATTGTGATTGTTCACAGTCCACACAAAGACAAGATCAAAAATTAGGACTAAAAACTAATGGTATTTTGGTCTTCCAGTTAGATTTCCACTCTGGCCAAGTCTATTAGTGGTTCATTCCCCATTCTACCCCCAAATCTGTTGATTAGTAAAATGTTATTCCAATAAACATAAATTGAGCTTTTTCTCTGTTATCCATCACATTTTGTCAGTTCTTTAGAAATGATGAATATGGGACAAGGTGCGGAAGACTGAAGGAGAAAAGGAGCCCAACTCTGCTACAGGATGTGCTTCCAGGCAATGAGGGGTATCACTTGAGTCTGCTCTCGCCTCCATCTATGACGCGGGGCCAAGGGACCACTTGGGTGTTCTCTAAGCCTGGTAACATCAGAATCACTATTGCGGAAATATTGTCTTCAAAAATAAACCGAAGCCCCGGGCTTGTTCTCTTTGGCCGCCAGTTTGGAGTCTGAGTGGAGAGCCTTCAATGAGCACTCACTGTGGTGACGCCCAGTCTGGGTACAACAGGCTTAGACCCAGGATCAAGCCAGTGGGGCCCCAAGTGATGCTTGGGGCAGAGCCAACTCTGACATATGTTTAGAGGATGCTATCAAAGCACAGCCTCTTCCAGGCGTGGAGACAAAAGTGGCCCTATGGGGAGAATGCATGCAGTGCTTGTGTTTTCAGAAAACGTTCTCTTTTAAAATATTTCCCTACTCAGCTTTAGCCTGTGAGTCTGGTTTACCACAGCCACTGTTTAGCTAACACCCGAAACCAGTAAGGTCAGCATGCCGATTCTAAATATATCCAAATATTGAGTAATTACGCCTCAGGGTCACAAAACCTGGTCCCTAAAGTCAGGAGAGTATCTTACTCATTAATGAGCAGGCAGGCCCCCAACAGGCCCTCCTGACACACATGACACTTCTGCAGGGCACAGTAAATCTGGTAATAACAGGACAACAGCATACCTTTTAAACGGGCGATCATGGATTCAGACGCCGGCTGCCTCACGTCACGTGGAGATTGTGGATGACAGTACTGAGACAAGGTCCCCGTTTAGTTTTAACAGACTTGTATATTTTAATGCAAATCTAAGGACTGTCCCTATTTCAAGTTTATAGAAGACTACTTGAATGAGTCTCAAAACTTTGTAGAACAAATGATCTAGTACCCGACATCCAAAGCCTTTTGTAAAATCACTTTTTTTTGCTAACTTGAAAAGAAATAACTTATTTATATATAAATAAGTTGAGTATAAATGTGGATGTCAACCACCCTTTCAGTTTTATAAATCTACTTTTAGCTTTCATCAACAGGCAGATTCCCTTACCTATCATGTTCCTAAATATGAGAAAATACCTTTCTTTAAAAAATCATTACATATATTTATTAAAAAGTGCAATTCAAAAGTTAGCTGGTAAATTACATCATTGCAAATCACAAAAAAGGAAAAGGAGAAGGGGAGGGGGGAAAAGCCCCAAACAAAACGAAACCCAAGAAATACAAACAAAACAAGAAGAAAAAGTTTTAAAAAGTTAGTGTGCTGAGGAATGGGCCCCAAAAGATGAGGAAACGAGAAGTCAAGGCTAGAACTCTACCCAGATGCCACTGCGCTTTCTGCATGCAAACGAGGATGATGAGATGTGCAGCGTCGGCTGCCGGGCTCGGGCTCGGGCTCGGGCGGGCTCGCGGGCTCGGGCTCGGGCTCGGGCTCGGGCTGCCGGGCTCGGGCTCGGGCTGGGGCTCGGGCTCGGGCTCGGGCTCGGGCTCGGGCTCGGGCTCCGCTCCGGCTCCGGGACCAGCTGCTTTCCGATGTTAGGTTATTCATCAGGGAGGTTTTCAAAGTATCCTATGAACACGTGCACGTCGGAGGCATTTACAAAGTCACCAGGAGTTTGAGGTTTAGTGTCTCAGTAACTAAAATTCAACTGATACATCTGTTTAAAGTTGGACTGGCTCAGTTATTTGAACGGATGATAAAAATCGAGTTGTCATCTTAGGGAACAATACTAAGTTCACCTACTCCTTCTTGCCATTACTCACAGGGTAAGAGAAGCCTGGTCCAGAACTAGCCTTTTTTGTCATTACAGTTTCTGACTAAATGTAATAAATGTAATAAATGTACTAATCACTCCCAACCCCATCCTGCCAAGGGAGACTATCACAGGATCTTAATCCACTCAAGTGTGCCGCTCAGCAGCCATGTACTTAACGTCATACTAAAAACACAGGTGCGCCTCTGGGGAGGTGGCCGTAGGACAGCCACATGGACTCAGCCAGCCCGTGCCCACCCTCCCCCAGGTGTGCACACTCGGTCCCGCTGCCCTGCCTCACTTCTATTCAAGACACGGGTCGTCAGCACTTCCGAAGCCTGGTGCTTTTCATTACTCTCTATTAGTTATTCTCGCCACAAAAAAAGTGTGCCCAGAAAAGCAATTTTGTCCCTGAAAAATGAACCACCGCATTACCTGTCGCAAACTGCTTCTGGGCCGTAACTCCATAATGACCAGCTCTCAGGGGATAAGGAAGCTCCCCCGAGAAGCAATGGAGTGGCCAGGAGCCCCATTCCCAACAGGGTTCTTCGGGGTGGGACCGGGGCTGCTCTCTGAGCAGGGAGGCGAGGGCAGGAGCAGGAGAAGAGTTGCCAAGACGGGAGGAGACAAGCAGCAGCGAACGCGAGCTAAGTCTGCAAACTGTTCTGGATCCCTCAGAGGCCCCGCACGGGGGACGAGGTCCAGGGAGGCAAAGCAGTGGTGAGCTGTCCTCAGGACAGGACAGGTGACGCCTGGAGTGTGCACTTGTTTCCTCTCTTCCCGCTGGCCCCTCCAGCGCTGGGTCGGAGGAGCTGCCTCAATTGTGGGGGGTCACCGAGACAAAGGTCAGTGCAGACTAGGATGTCAAGAGCCGGAGGGCAGGAGCCGGCACCGTGCGCACGCTGCTCCTCCCCGGGGTCCGTGTGCAGGAGGAAGCGCGTGTGGCCCTGCGGTCACAGCACTAGGAAGAGGACCAGCACGACCAGCAGGACCGCAAAGAGGATGGCTATGGCACACCACTGGCGCCGATCTGCAAGGCAGGACACGAGGATTAGCTCTCTCAAGTACATGCCCCGAGACACAGTCACATGAAACTTAAGGCCACACCTTGAAGCAGCAAAGGGACAGAATGTGCAAATGACAGCCACAGAGAGGATCTTGAACCTGCCCAGGTGCCTGGTACTCTAATGCTGCTCAGCTCCGGCCTGCACTGCACACGCGTCTGCAACTCGGCCAGTCCCCTGGAAGCTGCCTCGTAATAAGCACGTGTCTCAAGTCTTTAATTAGAACCTGTGGCTCTGAGCTTTCTGCTGGTTACTGTGTCGCTGGAAACAGTGCTGGCGCTGGCATTACAGATCAAAGCCCATCTGCTTTACCCTCCACCAAAGTCAATTTAATTCAACAACCCTGTTCTGCTCAGTGAGCACCACGGGAGGATGGAAAGGAGACAAAAGCTACTGCTGGTCACTCCAGGAAATGAAGAGCTGGAAAAGCAAGCCCAAGCAACCATCAAGTTCACACCACACCTCGTCAAGACACAGATGACTTAACCCGTAACCGTGTTAAACTAACTCACACAGCTTCTCTAAGTGAAAGTGAACTGTCTTTTCTGAAACTTGCTACCCTACTGACAATTTAGAACAGGCACAGGAAACTGTGGCTAGAGTCCGCCGAAATAGCTGAGAGCAAGGAGGCCCTGTGGGACAGAGGGGTCCACACAGGCCCCGGGGGGGAACCCCAGCTGCAGCCCACAATCCTGACTCTGGTGGCCCCCCCTAACGCTACAAGGGCTGTTTCACAGGGCTGTCGGGAGAACTAAATGACATAAATATCCTCACACACTCTGTTGGAGCATACTTGGGGTACAGGATGCTGTGATCATCAGGATGGTTTCTTTTTTTTTTTTTTTAGGCAAGGCAACCCTTGGTTGACCTCACAGATTGCAAAAATCTTGTCAGCTTACAATACTTTAGTTTTTATTTTTTATACCTACAGCACCTGGTCTTCCTAGGTGGTCTCTCATCCAAGTACTAACCAGGCCTGACCCTGCTTAGCTTCCGAGATCAGACAGGATTGGGCTTGTTCAGGGTGGCATGGCCGTAGACAGGATGGTTTCTTAATGTGAGCAGATGTAGAAAGAATAAGTGGTCTTTCCATTGATGAGTCCTGCCGTTTCCACAGTGGGTCAGACTGAGAGAAAAGAGTTTCACTAGCTTATGAAAATGTAATCAACTGCTAGAAATACGGGTTCCGCTTAAATAACTGTAAATGTATACCGATTCATCAGAAGTTTATTCGAAAGCCTGAAGATTTTAGCACACCATAGCTATTGAGAATCACATTATAAAAAGGTCTGAATCTAAGAAAACAGATCATCAAGCCTTCCACAAGGCAATGCTAAGTCCACAAAACATAAACTTAAATTATTTAAATGTCCTGGAGAACAAAATCTTAAAAGCAGTCAATGGAACGTCCACTAAATGATAAAAGTGAAGCTAAAACCTTCTTAGTGGTGGCCACCCTGCTCTGCACGGTCCCACAGGCTGGGAACGTGCTTGCTGTGATTAGGGCAAAGACCACCGCTCTCTGTTTCCTTTCTGAATGAAGCAGGACTGTTCCAAAGAGGCAGAGTTGGCCTACATCAGACATTTACTATTTTTAATCTGTTTAACTATCGCTTCAGTGGTCAAGAAAACTCTAATATCTAACATTCTCTCATCTGTTTAAAGTGTTTATAATAACTTAAAACCACTCTCATTAAATTAGTAGATATTCTCCCAGGACAAAACAGTCAAGGTAACTGCTTCCTAACTACCCCACCTCTAATCTCACACCCTAATTCCTACACTTACCCCCCACCCCTAGGCAGCCTCCCATATTCAAACGCAGATTTCCACTTTTTGGTTTTCCATCAGCCTCTACCAAACCCAAACACCCTCCCACTCTCCAATCACTTTCTCCTCTGCAATTGCATCATAAATAGGGATTTTCATCAAGGAGAACATCCATCGCACAAGCTAGCACAATCCAGGAATGCTCCTTTAAGGCTACTTACCTTTGAAGTGGTTAAGTTGCTTCTTTGAAGCATGGACTAAGTAACCCTAGGGAGCTGTTACCGAGCTGACTTCTCCCTAGAAGGGGTGGGGACTAACCACAAGGGCTTTTGTGACCTCAAGTGAGAAATCCTAACCACTCAAGTGAGAAGTCCTAACCAGCTTTCTCCAAGGTCAAGCCAGCCTCAAAGAGCAGAAGGGAAGAAAGGAAACTCTGATGGTAGTTTTTTTTTTTTTCCTCCCCTAAAGAGAAAAGATGAATAAGAGAATTTTGAAAAGTAAGAGGAAGAAAACCTCGGTATCTACTCAAAAGGATATACTTTCTTTGGGTAGGAAAATGATGAGATTAGTATCTCTCTTGGGTCATTTGAAAAGTAAGTGTGGCATCTTGGTTGACTTCTGCCCACAAAGCAGCCAGGTGTAGGAAAGCAGATGTTCTGCCTCTCAAGAACTGTGGAGCATGTGTATTCAGTTACTGCCTAACTGAACTTCACTGTGTCTTGATATACTTTCTTTATGTACAGGTTTGATTAAAAAGCAGTAAACTTTCCCAGAAGTTATGGAGAACAGAGACAAATACAAATTGCCTTGTCATCAAGCTGAAGCAGACACCACCAAGCTGGAGGCCCTGAGCAATCTTTCTTTTGAGAGCAAGCAAAGATGAAAATGAAAACCACAGGCAAACTGTCCAAACTGAAGGGCCTTTCAGGCTAAATGCTGTTTCCTGGCTCTCTTTCCTAGACAAATCCAACTAAAGTTCCTACTTTGCTCCCTAAATCTTTCTTTCAGGAAAAAGTAGAATAAAGCGTAAGCAAGTTTTGGTGCTATTTATACATACTGGATGGCTTAACACAATGCAAGTACTTTTCTAAATTATTCATACCCGGAATTCTGGGAAGCAAAGACACAGTGCATCTTTGTTCATTTGGTCTTCCCCAAACAAAACTGGTGCTGAAGTAGCTACTTGACTTTGTGACTAATACATACACTAGTGAGAGGCCTGGTGTTTAAACTGGTTATATAATACTTCATTAAAGCATTTTTTAAAAGCAGTGGGGTGGGGATGGAAGAAGAGAGAACAGAGGAAATCAGAAAGGTGACTTTGCAAACCTTTCTCTCAAGGAGTCAAAGACAAACTAAGCTGTGCTCACTTCAGCAGCACTTACACAAAGAGGAACTAGGCTGGTGCCCGCTTCCGGCAATGGCAAGCCGAAGAAGCATAGATATTTGTCCCTGGAGAGAAAGAAGGAACTAAGTCTAGCTGTGAGCTTCCCTCTGCCCCTCAAGGCCATCTTCTACCTGTCTTATGATTTCCTTTGAACATTTACTAAGTACTAATACAGGGGAGACACTGCTAAACAGTTGTGCATTAATTATTATTATTTCATTTAATCCCCACAATGACCTTGGGAGGCAGGCATTAACCTATTTTTTACAGATAAGAAACTGAGCCCCAGAGACCTGCTAATGTAACTTGACTATCAAACTACTGAAAAGCAAATATACACAAGTATTTCAATCTTGCTTCAAAAGGCTAACCTGTTAGACTCTATAACGTGTACCTGACGGGGGGAACCAACAGAAAAACAAAGTGTCGAGAAACAGGGAAGTTCTCGTGAAGGAGGGGGCGTTATGGTGAAAGAACACTTAAATTACCTCAAGGAGAATCTCGGTTCCTTGGCCAAGCCACCCCTCACCAAGTAAAGGAAAAAAAGATACCGGATTTTCTTTGATTTAAAAATATATTATTTCTCATGTAATAGGCTAGGTGGGTTTTTGTAATCAAAAAAGAGTCACTGGAAGACATCTTCCTATATATATAGTAACTAATTTGAAAAATGTTACTTCTTCATCCCCATCCTGGTGTTTGTTGGAATATTTCACTATGGATTTAAATATACACGATTTAAAACAGATCTGCAAAGGGTATCTTATTCTGAAATGATAGCGGTTTTTCTTTCGATGAAGTCAGTCCAGGAGAAACAGTAACTGGCTTCTTAATTTTGTTTTAAAATAAGTTCCCTATTTTGACAAAGAAATAGGAAAAAAAGAAAAAGAAAAAGATGTTGTAACTGCAAAGAAAGTTGTTCTGCCAGGAGGTAAGCCACCACCACCAGCCGTGTGCGGTCTGACAGTGGGAAACTGTGCTTTTAGAATTAAGGATTCTTGTGCTTTAAACACCATACATACCACTGGTCATGTGAGATACTTTTGCAAGTTTCTTCATTACATTGTCCAGCCGAGACTGAGTGCCCTCCAACTCATGAGAGAAGTCATCCAGCATACTAGAAAGAGAAGCAGATGTAGAAGGTGGCTGGTAAACACAAAGCCATGACAATGAATTGGCCATGGAATTAAATCAGGATCTAGGCCTTAGTGTTAGCAAACATAAGACAGGCAACACTGGGATTTAAGCACCCAACACTGGGATTTAAGCACCCAATCTATTAGCTGAAATTCTTGAGACAAGATGTGTTTTTTATTGCAGAATTACTGGAATTTTAAAAAGTAGTAATATATATGCTGTATGTTAGCTAACAGCCTCAGCAGGGCCTGGGAGAAGTCCTCCTTATCAAATATGTTCATATTTCTGCAGAGAAAAACTATGAGCAATCATAGCTGCAGTCTGTTCAAGTCAGGTTTTTCTGTAATGAGCTTGCTTCAAACTCAAAAAACATTTAAAAAATTTTTTTTAGTTTTCTAGATTTCAAAATTCCAGACAAAGCAGTGTGGACCTGACTACACAATACCACAAACTCAGTGTCAGCGCAGTGTAGCGGAGAGAAGGCTATGTGAAGTCAGCTGGGCTTCGCCCCTTGCTGACCCGGCTACCATGGACAAGGCACCCACAGCTGCTGGGACCGCTTCCTCACCTACAAATGGGGCAACCTACTGGTCCTGCTTCCTTGCTGGGTCTTAGAAGCACTACAGAACATACAAAGCAACATGGGTTTAGAATCCACTTTAATCAAACACCACTCTCCTCTCAAGCACTTAGTGCTGTATCATAACGCCGGAAGCCTTAGGAAGGATGCTGCTGACGATGCGTGGTCCTCTCTACAGCCACAGAGAAGCCGGCATTTTCCCCATGAAGGGAACTGGCTCCAGGAGGCCTATGCTATTTGCTGTCTAAGGCACAGCTAGGAAAGAAAACACCAAAAAACTCTTATTCCAAAAGTATTTATTTCATAGGTTCCTAAACATTCCAGACTTTTCAACCTTAGATTAACATAGGATTATCCTGCAGATAGAATGTAACCAATTAGTACCAAAGGTCTTATTAAAAAGGCTTTATTACTCTGACAGCATCAATGGCAGCTAGAAAGCACTGGTCAAAGTCTGGGCCCACATGAAGCTCCTGACAGTCCTGCAGGATTCGGGGCAAATAGCTCCTTATTAAGTCAATTATTAAATCAACTCCATGCTGACAGCTAAATAAACAAGTCTCCTCCTTTACCTGAATTTCCAAACTCAGACATCTGTAGCTCGTCTTAGACCCTGGGAGCATCGTGGCCCTGCAGCTGCAGACTTATTCAGGCAGGGCCACCTGCTGACAAACAAGAGCCACCTTGATGTGCCGGGGGTGGGGGGCGTGGTGGGGACTTCCCCCAAAGACAAAACAAGCAAGTCACCGACTCTAGGCCAATGACACCCACTACTCAAGGGGTGAAGGTAGCTGGTAAACACAAAGCCATGGTAGCTACCTTCTACACCAGGCCTATCTAACTCAGTACTGTACAAAAGAAATATAATGCAAGTCACATATGCCATTTAATATTGTCTAGTAGCCAGGTTTGGGAAAAAAAAGGCAAAAATTTAATAATCTGTTTTATCTAGCCTAATATATCCAAAACAGTCATTTCGACATGTAATTAATGTAAGAAATCATTAATAAGCTATTGTCCATCTGTTTCATAGTAAGTCTTCAAAATCGAGTGTTCATTTTACACTCAGGGCGCATCTCAATTCAGACGGCCACACTTCACATACTCGGTGGCCACATGTGGCTACTGTACTGGACAGCACAGGTTAAGACCCATGTTTCTTCCTTTTAATGTACTTATTTTATCAGTTATGCACATACAGTTTAAAGAGCTACACAGTCTTTTGTTAAAAACTCAGTCGTTTACTGATCCCTGCGGCAGATGCTTTCGGCCCCTCACACTACTCTCCTGGTGCATTCTCCAGTTTTTGAAGTAACACGCTTGCACCTCTGCATCCTGATCGCACTGGCTCTGCACTGTGAAAGGCTAGGGCTTAGCTCTTCTCCCCCTTCATCCCCACCTCTGCATCCTTCCTACTCCTCTCCCCCTTTCCTTCCAATGTAATCGTGTCACAATTTTATGAGATCAACTCTCAGGGTTCACAGTGCCATGAGCGAGGAAGTGCTCTTCCCAGCTGGGGGTTTGTGGCGTGAATCGCACAGGCTCCTTGGCTCTCCCCTCTGCTGGCTGAAGACTCTGCTTTCTCTGGTCTGCCGAGTCAGTGAGCATACAGAGTTCTACTTTCCAGAATCGAAAATGTTATTATGGTTATTGTTTCTCATTCTATACTCAATATCCCCATAGGTTTATGCCTTAAAAAAAATCCTTGGCCATGATTCCAGTACGCTTCAGAGAGGGAGTGAGATCAGGGTACGCCCAATGCACCGCCTTTCTCTGGAAGCCTGCCAGGCTCTCCCTATCACCACCCAAGCAGCGGTGGCTCAGGTGATTAGTCTTTTCTCTTCCCCAAGCTGGAATCTGGGGTAAGAATACATTTCAGACGGAAATTAGACATGCACACCGAGATTCCTGCTCTTTCGGCCTCCTGGTGGGTCTCCTTGCTTCCAAGTCTTACTCCACTTTGACTCATCATCTAAACTAGAGAGATGGACCTTCCAAAACGTAAACCATGGATGACTCTTAACACAACCTTCGCTGGGTTCCCACCAGAATAAAGTCCTAACTCCTTCACACGGCTTCTCAGGCCCCCCGATGTGTTCTCTGCCTCTGCGTCTTGACTTCTGCAATGCCCCATCCCAATCCCCATGCTCTAGATACACTAAACCTTTCTGTTCCAGGGACTTTCTCACCTCTAGGTCTTCACAGGCCGTCTTCCTTCCTGCAGGTGGACTCTCGCCCTTCACATCCCTCTTCCCACCCACACTCGATGACCCGGCTACCTTCTAACTCATCCTTCCAGTTCCTGTTAAACTTTTCTTCTCAGGGACCTTGGACTAGGTTAGGCTAAGTCAGGGCTCTCGGGCCACCATGCACTTCCCCCGCCACAGCCGTCCTCCCGCTTCTCTGCCACCGGTTAGTGACTTGCATTCATTTGTATCATGTCCACTCTACCCAGTAAATGGTAAACTCTGATGACAGAGAGAGTGTCTATTCCGTTTGCTCCTCTATCGATACCCAACGCCACCCAGAACAGATGCTCAGTCTGAATTTATGATAAGTGAATGTATTACACTGAACACAAAATTGGGATAGGAGAGTTTCTGATATATCCTAGTGGAATATCTTATTTTTTTCAGAAAAAAAATTATAAAATGGCAAAGGTATTATGTGGTAGTACTTAAGAATGCTGATTTTTCAGAGTGCGAAAAGACTTGTGCTTAAGGAAAAACAAATAAACCCAGTTACGTTTCCGTGTTTTTACTTTTGATTTTCAAAGGGAAAGATTTTTTGTTAATTTAAGATTTTTTGTTAATTCAAATTTAAGATACAAAACAAAAAGTTTTGTTTGACGTAGCATGAGAGTCACGGGACAATAAAGTTAGCTCATGTCCTACCCTCTTCGGGACACAACCCCCAGAGATTACACCCGTTATCAGTTTCACGTTTCCACTCATAACGACACTGCGTATCTGCTCAGAGGAACTCTATCTTTTTGCAAGTGTTTAAAAAAATAACAATTATAACTTTGCCTAAACCCTCCAAAATATTTTATCTGATAATTTGCTTCTTTTGGAGAAGCTAGTCTATAAAACAGAAAATATAGCTATAAATAAAATAGCTTTTGGTTTACTAGTCCTATAATTGTTGGGTTTTTTAGGGGTCCCTTAAGATGGCTCTTCCCCTCAATTTCATGGCCATGAGAAGCAGGTCTCACACTCACACTGCCTGCTCCTCCAGCTCCCCTCCAATGCGCTGGGACATGCTCTTCAGCACCCCGATGCTGCCAGAGACCAGCTCCAACTGCTCATCCTGCTGTTCCACGATCAGCTGGTGCCAGAGACATGGGAAATAGGCAATTAAAATCCGTCTTACCTGGTTCTGAGCCCAGCACTCTAGCAGCTGCTGGCTTCTTTGCCAACTTGAGACAATTCGCATTCAGAAGCAAAGCCCAGAATCAAAGGACCAGACCATCACCTCTGAGAATATCCTGCTCAAAAGGCTGAATTGTCAAGCTACCGACACCTCCTGCTAATCCAACTTGTGAATAGCGAGGCTTAAAAACCACCAAGAGAGATTCACTCTGGTTGGCTGAAGGGAACAGATAATGGCCAAAAGCACCTGTGCAGTGACCCCTGAGACATGGGGATGCCTGGGAAGAGGAAGCCCACTGCCAGGGTTAAGGTCTCAATCCACAGCAGACTTAAACGCAGAAGAGAATCTGGTAGATCTCTGGATCTGGGAAAGTCACACACAGTGTCCTTTCCCCTCAAGGACAAACTTGAGGAGGCCCTGTGGCAGTAAGTTATCTCAAGGACAACTACTGAGTGATAAATATTTAATTCTGCAGTGGCCTCCTCATTTTTTACATTAAAAAAAAAGTTTGCTTGGTTAATAGCAATTTCAGCAGACAACTGGTTAAACAGACATGGAAAAAATGGGGAAAAAAACCCAAAAGAACATAAAATCTATATAAAATACATACGTAAAATACAATATTTAAGAACCAATAGTTTCATGGATAATCTCAAATCCCCAGATACATTGTTTCCTTTTATTAATACAACTACACATCAAAAGCAACAACACAGACAAAAATCAACCTTACTTTCCTTCTTCTTCACCTCCACCAAAGCAATCATTTTCATAAATAATGGAACCAACAATAATTTTCAATGGGAAAACCAGGACTCAATTTTTCTGAAAGTTTGCTTTTGTTGAAATGTACAAAACAACAAGTATGTGAGTGGAGGCTGGGGAAGAAGGGTTTTTGTTTGTTTTTGTTTTTAAATCAGTGACCTTGTCTGTCAGATTTGGAGGTCTGGTCTGCTTTTCCTAAGAGACTTAATCGGCTTGGTTCTCCTGAAACAGTCATGCTCTAAAGGTTTTGGAATCCCTTTATACAAGCAGTCATCATGCAGGTAGACACGGAGCCGCTGGGTGCGCGCTGGTCCAACCTGCCTGTCATTAGCAACAAAGCCCCCTGAAACCGGGGACGTGCCCTGCCTCCCACACCTGTCCTTGGCTGACGGGTTCTCAGTACCTGCTGCTGTGCCTGCTGCTCCTCGATGAAATGGGAGTTGGCTAACTGGAGCTCGCGGTCAAAGCGCCCGTATTTATCCGGTGTTCCAGTGCTCCAGTTCTGGCCGCCACTGTCCCCCAGCAGTGCCTGCGAGAGCGGGGCAGGGGCAATGGGATAAAGAAGAGCAAACGATTACTTCTGCAGAACAAGTGCCCCATCACAGTGATACGAAGCGTCTTGCACTGTTCATGATCTATTTTCCCTGAGGTCCGCCTTTCATGCAGTGGTGCAGGTTGATACCTGTGTGGTACGATTTAAAGAATGCCAGGAATGATACGCTGTCCCAATGAGACTTACAAATGGGCTCTGTCCCACTACACTGTAAATAAATATCAACTTTAAATTAACAAACGCCCATGTGTACTCTGCTGTACAGTCTAAAGCGCTTAATCCCTTTAGGGCAGCTCTTCCTAGCGCCCTCAGAAGTCACCAGAGACCCGCAGGCTCTAGTCTAACTGATCCCAGAGATCTAGAGTCCTACAACCCAAGAAGTTTTTGGGTTTCTTTGAGGGTGGGGGGAGAGTTTTCCTCAATGACAAAAAGCTAGGTCATAGCCTCTCACATACTGAAGGCACAAGAACCACCAATGTTTGTTCAATTTAATTCCAACTAAATCCCAATGTCCTTCAATTGAACTAAAAGGCTACAGGCTTCGCGGATAGGAACTGGGGGTTGCTGCCCAAGGCAGGTATGGCCATGCCAGGTGCGTGACCCTGATAACCAAGGCGAGTGCTGGCCCTAAAGTCAGTATTGCCACTAAGGCCTCCAGACGACAGGGCTGAGTTTCTCGACAGAACTGGAGGAAGTTTGTAGCTAGAAAACGGTAAGTTTGGGAACGTCTTCCGTACATGAAGAAGCCAGCCAGGAATAGGAGTGGTCAGTCTCAGCGGCTGGCTCCGACTGGGATCCCCAGAGGCCTTTCTGACTAGTTGGTCAAAGTAACTGTTCAGACCAGCCTTGCTCAAAGAACCAGAAGATGCTGGTGACTAAGATTCTTCTTCCTTGTGGAGTCACCAAATCTTTTTACCAGGTACTTTTTCTCTCCGAAACTATTAAAAGCCCAACTGATTACTCGGTTCGCTATCTGAAAAGCCTTCCAATAGCCCCTCAACACCGACACTGATCTCGCCTGACTTTCAGAGGTGAATTCAGCCAAATGGCCTATACCTTGGGGGCAAGGCTCGGGGAAGCTCAGGATACAGGGCATAATTCTGAGGCGGTATGAGAAGAGGACCAGGACATCTGAGAGCTTCCGGCAGGGAAAGTTAACAGGAAAATTAAGTGAGGTGATATTTGGAGAGCCCCTTCCTCTTCTTTGAGCTTTTATAATATTTATTTTCAAAATTAAGTGGGTCAACAAACACTTAACAGGTATGAAGTAGGGATTGATGTTGTGAACTGCTGGTTCCTAGTTAAAGGTGTTGAGCTGATTTCTTCAGTTGACAATCTAGTAAAGGGACTATTGGCAACTTTGTGGAATCTGAACAGAATCCAAATCAAGTCTAAATTTTAGGTAACTGGTACATATTTTTTAAAAAAAGGACTGTATTTTATCAGTTGAAAAAAAATTTCTTTCATACACCCAAGTGTCTAATTTTAAAAAGCTATTTAAAATTCAAGAACTGGTCTCTGTAGCTTTTATTTTTGATGTGTCAATATCTGTGCTTCGGTTTCTGAAATTCATTAGGTTTCAAAATTTATTTGTAATAACTAATAAAAACTGGGCAACATTTCAAAAAAAAGATATTTAAAATGATAAAAGATTTAACTCATTAATTCACATACGTTTAAGGTTCCTCAAATATTTTTCATTTCATTTTGAATTTCATAAAGTTTCAATCATTAAATGTCCAGTGAATTCTATGGGGTAAGCAATATAATAGCAGCTAGAAATTTAAAAAAAGAAAAAAAAAAGAGCATGACGCAATCCCTCCTCACTCTCAAGGAGCTTGGGGTCTGGCAGAGAAAAAGACAAGAAACTGAGCAAATACAGCCCTTAATAGAACCTGGCACAAAGAACGTGCTCAGCAGGTACAGAATAAATGGCTCTGAGGTAAGGGCTATCAGATTTAGCGCAGGGAGCTATGAAACGCAGAGCGTGAGATGGGGGCACAGCTAACGATGATGCTCAGGCAGGCCGATGGCTGGACTTTCACAAAACCTGCCAGCCCGCCTCCAGGCTCAGCATGCACAGGGCTTCTGCATGACCACAAGATATACAGATATCAGCATTTTTAAATTCCAAGTATTTTCTTTGATTGATACTGTACATTCAGATGTTTACGCACCTGTCTATTTTTTCTTTCAGCGAATGCCTGCACAGATGAAGTTGACATCTGATCCTTCATGTCCTAAGATAAGTAAAATACCAGGAAACAAATGAATATCCTTAAATGAAACAAAATCATGGTTAACATTTTGCACATTAGCAAAATCCACATAGTTTATTATTAATTTTTTTTATAGCAAAAACACAGCATTCTTTGGCTTCTTTCAGTCTCAAAACAAAAGAAATGACACAGAGAACAACATCCCCTTAAAAAAAAGGTAACCTGGAAAATAAATTTAAATAGGAGGGAAGAGGAAAGGAACTAGTGTTTTCTGGGAACCTACTATAGGCCAGAAATGCTATTAAATGCTTATATACATTATCATTGAAATTTCATGATGACCCTGTGAAGCTAGTATTATCTTCATTTTACAGTTGAGAAGACTAAGATCTAGAAAGGCTGAGATACTTTCTCAAAGTTACATAGTTAAAAAATGGCAATCCTGGGGTATAAACACAAAAACCTGTGCTAAAAGGTTAGCATCTTCATACATAATACATATAAAAAACCATGCACTTTAGGATAATTACCATTAAACACCAGAGAAAACTTTTGAATAGTGATACAACAGGTCAATTATTTTATTTTTGAGTTGGATTTGTTATAGACTATTTCTAAAACCAGAGTGAATTTCCAGAGTGGCATCAGAAATAATTTTGTATGGAAAGAAAAATGAATGGACCTATTACTTACAATGAAGCAAAACACTTTGCTTATCATCTCTAACCACAACTCAATATACTTTGAAGTGATTTGAACTGAGTACATGATTACTGAAATACAACTTGTCTTAAAGGCTGACAAAATACTTTATAATTTTCTGTTGGCAAGACGACTACTTTATAGATGTACATGAGATATTAGGCTTTTAGAAACTTCTTCTAAGACCTATGTATGACAAGTGAATGGTAGTTCAGACAGTGCCACAGCTTTCTTAAGTCCTGTTGTGGGAAGTCTGAATTATAACCACCTTGTACCAACTTTCAAAGCGCCCATTCCTTCCTTCTCTTCCACAGGACTTCAATTAGACTCTGAACTCAGATCAGCAAAAGCTCAGTTAGGTACTGTTAACCCACCACTGGCAAATAGTAACAGCCTCTCCAAAAGGGGTCATAAATTAAAAATAAGAATGATTAAAAACCCTAAAGTATTCAGTTGGATCATACAGCAAAGTATGGTCTAGATCTCAACTCTAAAGAGGCTGCAATATTATGACATATGGACTTGATTTAGAATACTTCTTTCGAAGACTGCGCTTTAAAAAACTTCTCTGATATTAGAAAACAAACTTTGGTTCCTACTTCCAATTATACCAACTAACTTAACATTCAATATACTGACCTCTGAATTTCAATTTGCAAAATTTATAGGTACTACCTCGCAGAGAGAACAACTCTAATGACTGAGGTCAAGAATATGCTTCATTGTGAGGTGCCATTTAAATATCAACATCTACTAAAGTGTCCTTCAAAAACCTGTTAAAAAATTAAGAAGCAAACATTTATGAAATAAATAAATATGTCACGTAACAACGAAGCTTCTTATCAGAATAGCTTTCTGAACTGGCTAGAAATTAGGAGTGTCTAATCCAAATGCTCATTATATAGATGATGGCACCTGAGGTCCAAAAATGATACTGTCCCCATTAAAATATGGGTTTATTTATAAATAATTTTAGATATATGTATATATAAAGGCAACTAATGAATAAAACAAAGAACAAGAACATTTAAAGTTCAGTGATAATTTCCCATTTGAAATAATTTCAAAAGGAAATCACATGACATAAAGTCTCTGGCAAACACATACCAAGGTTCCTGCCTAAGATGACTCTAAAAAAGCCATATGTTAGCACTGATATGATCCCAAGTTTTTTTTTTTTATTCAAGGAAGCTGCTTTTTAGTACATATGTTAAAGACAGCTGGCTCTCTTACATCTAGTTATGCTAATCAAATGGCTTAGCTATATAGTTTCAAAATACAAACATATCTTAATGATACAGGATTTTACTGAAACGATATTCTGAGGTTTTTAGACAATATGTTATCTAAATAATTCGAGACTAAGTATTTGTTCACTGGTTTGGTTTTTTACACTCAGAAGCTTGCTTGCTCTGGATCACTCCCGAAAGGCAGTCAAGCAGTTGCATATGGAAATGTCAGTGCCATGGTTGCAAGAGTTCCAGAAGCAACTCAGATGGTGAAAGGGGCCGCCATCCAAACACGGTGAGAGCCACTTCACAATGCAAAGAGATTACCAATCCATCAAGAAATCAAACAGTTTCTACAACAGTAGAATAGCAATTCTTCCCTTTCACCCAGAAAGATAGCATACTAAGAAATAAAGAGGAAAAACAATAACTGGTTTGGAGGAATGAGAGTTATGGACAACAGAAAGATAGCATACTAAGAAATAAAGAGGAAAAATAACTGGTTTGGAGGAATGAGAGTTATGGACAGGCAGGACATCGTTGAAGTAAGCTTCCCAAGCCAGCGTCTACTCTCTAAGAAATAAGCCTGACGACACTAACGACAGATTTCTTTTCTTCAACTGGAGAAATTCTATGTGGGAAACTGATGACATTTAATTCATACGAAAAAGTGGTTTCAGAGTTGACCTATTGGTTAACATTCAAGAGAAAGAGTTCTGAGAAGTCTGGCTGTTTCTTACACAAATAACATGACAAGGTCATATTCCTTACCCTGACAACTTGCCGAGTACTTGTGATGAAGGCTTTTCTTATACTCAATTCGGTTGCATCGAGATTGAATTTTCTAGGATTTGCTTCGACTATGCGTGGGTCAAAAAGTCAAGGTAAAGCCGTGTCATCATCAAAAACCTAACAATCCACATCGTGTTAAAAAACTGCAGACTCTCTTACAGGCCAGCAATAAAGTCTGGCCCGATGTTTCTGAAAATATGGCCAACTTGACACCAATCATTCTCAAACTTTCTCTGCCCACAACTATAGAGGGATCCTTGTGCCCCAAAGCAGAAATGACCTGCCAGGTTAAGAACCACAGCCTGCCCGGGTTCACTACAAATCCACGGCTGGCTGAGCATGGCTGGCTGAGCTCCTCCAGATGCCTGCTAGCGCTATTCTCGTTTGACTCCAGATCACCTTTTCCATGACAGCTTTTACAAGCCTTTTTCATTTATCATTTCAAACCATTCCACTTATGTCAAGATAACCCTGCTTCTTCGTCTAGAGATGGAGGCTTCTTCCGTGAAACTCCCCTGATCTCCTCACCCCCAGCCTTGTCCTGCTGCCCCAAGTGAGACACTCGCATGGCTCTCTGGCCTTTTCACTCAAGTCTGCAGTATATATTTGTGCTATTATCAGATTATGTCTATTCCCCGCCCCCAGTCCTACTCTACCCTCCACCATGAATTCCATGAGGGCTAGAACACTGTTTTGCTTCTCACTCCCATCTCAGTAACTAACAAAATGTCCAGCACATGGTACACGCAATAACTCTCTGCTGAATGATGAGTATCTATTCAAATTTTGTCCTCTTTCTCCGCAATTTCTCTATTTCCCCCAATCCTTTTCTCTTCCCTCCTATCTCAAGGGAAGACTTATCTCCCGGTAACTGTGCTTTTGATCCCACTATCATATTTTGTTCCACCATTTTAGAGAACACATTTGTCTTTTAATAATTTAAAAGGTGCCCGGAGTCATGACGATTAATCGAAATGATGTGCTCCAAACATCAACCGCATAGGAACCGTGCTCACTATGGAGTAGTCCTGACAAAGGGGTTTCCTTGATGTTTTATCACAATTAGAGAAAAAAAGAAAACAGAGCTCAGAATATGACATTGGCATATCTTCAATCTAAAGTTTTGATTAAATGTAATTTTTCCAGTGGAAAAAGGCCACATAATTCAGCTTTTACAAGTTTTCTGGTTCGGCAGTCAGATCAGTGGACTTATTTCACACTGATAGCCTAACTTAGCAATAACAGGTCTGCTTTTACTAAATGTCACTGTACATGAACTGGCTACTCTACCTTAGCTTACTGGGCAATTATTTTAAGTGTGTCATGGTACAAATAAGAGCAACATCACTCAATTATAAAAGGAAATGTCCAATCTATGTGCTTGAGACATTTGGATAAAAACTTGTCCATTTGTGTGTTTGCCCCTGGTGGCACAGACACTACAGAAAAGGATATTGATGGTTTCATCCAGGTCTTCCAGATCCCACTCTATGCTTCGGAGGTTGTTTCTCAGCTCGTTGGTGGTCCAGTCGATTTCCTCCCTTGTGGCCGAGGACGGGTCCTGGAGGAGCTCTGTCCATCTCTGAAATAATCCCTGGGCAGTGTTGACTGCTTTCTGCACCTCCCTGTAATCAAGGTGAGGGAAGGAGAGGAATCAGATGGCGTTCCATGAGCAAGTTACTGTGTGACTTAAGATGACATTTATGGCCATGCACCATCCTCGGCCACCATTCCCAAAAGTGTTTTCAAGTCTTGATAGAAGGCTCTTCACGGACAAATACCAAAGTTCAAAACTTCAAAGTAACAGTCTGAGTATTCTGTTCTCAGCTGAGGTTCAGAATAAAATAGCCATTGTTTAAGCAGCTATAATATCAAGTCTGTTTGAGAAATACAAAACAGACTATGCTTAAAGTAGTATAAGAAACAATCCTACAAATTAACTACAGAGCCATTAGCATTCCCACATGCTGCCATTTGGTGGGACAGTAATTTATATTCAGATGGACAAGTCCTAATACAGCTTTTCTTTTCTGGGGAATGGGGAATAAAAAGGGTAGAGGAAGGGTTACTCTTACACAGCTAGTCTTCCAGAGGTTAAGCTTTTTTATTTGGGACATTGTTAAACCCAAAATCTCATTAGAAGATTCCAAAACTTTATTAGCCTTACATGTATCTACCTTCCTGGACTAAGCAATGCTGTAGAGCAGATTGTTCTGTTTCCTGTTTAGAGAGTGGGACTAGGCCATAGTGCTATGATCTCGTATGTTTTTACATTAGATACAGTCACAATGATTTGAACCCACCCCTTCTCCCCGCACCATTGGGCCAATTTCTACCATTTAAATGTTATAATCTAATACTGCTACATATAAAAGCCAAGGAGTCATTTTATAAACATATGGTCTCTTGTGCACAAAGATAATAGCCTTACTGCTCCCAAACTAAGAGATCTGTTTTGATTCTTCTATGATTTCTTAACCAGTTCTTCTGGGTGTTCAATCAGGGTGTTTGTTGTCTATAGCTTTAAGCAGAATGTGCATGCATCTATTCCCACTGACATTTCAAGTACCAGAAGAAAAAGCACTAACGAAAATAAGAAAAGTGCCTTACAATATGTCAGTCTGTGGAATAGTGATGAGAGCTAAAAGGCTGAGTGTTAAACAGAGAATACATATAGTTATTGGGCCCAGGCTGACTAAATCACTGAGCTACGTGGCCAGCAATGACTATCAAAGTCCATTCATATCCAGTTTACGGGTTACATCAGCCTTTACTCTCAGCGTTAATGAGAAGCTCTGAGATAAACAGAAGTAAGTAAGTGAGATGTAAATCCACTATCTTTACTCTTTATTGAGTTTTCTGGATGATTTGGTGGAGAAAGAGGTATATACATCTTCCCATAATACGATAATGGAAGACGGTTAAAGAGCATCTATAATATCTCATTTTAAAGAATATAAAATTGACCAATTCTGTAAATATAAATTCCTTCTGGAGAACTAGGAACCTCAAACCTAAAAAGCCTCTGGCTGGGGCATACCATGCACTCTCTGCCACCAGTATACAACTCTGATGCTGGAATTCAGTTTTCTTAAGAAGCAAGCCACACATTTTTTTTTCGAGGGGGGCAGTCTCACAACTCCTTTGCTCTCTTTAAAATAACTGAAGAATTCCAAAGTTGGTATAGAAATTCAAAGAGACATCTAAAAAATATGTATTAATTAATTAAAAGTTATAAACTTATTACACGTTAACTCATTTTTGTGAATAATAACTTCTAAAAAAAATAAAGCAATTAGAGTGGCTCTGTTTAACATTTTTATTTTTGCAAATCTCTCTAATATCTAGTTTAACAAAAGGCATCTGGATTCTCATATGTTTTTATATTCAGCCTACTGACATACATTTTGGTTGAGTATATGATGAAAATCCAGATATTCAGTTGGGAGAGGGAGGAGTATTTCAATAATTTTTACAGATAACTGGGGATATTCTTTTTTGACCTTTGTCATACCAAAACATGACAAGTGGCAGTTTCTTAGAAGTTAATTGCAATGTGAAACCTGAAGCTGTATCAAAGACTTTTTGAACTCTCATACATTACAACACACTACAAGATGTTATAAAACATACATTAATACACTGATTAATGACAAGGTATTCTGAATAAATCTTTTACCCAGGTATGATTTTATAACATCATATACTGGTCATTTGGAAAGTGTTACTTTACTGAGTATCACAGATTTTTCAAATGCTAACTCATTTCATTACGCAATATCCAAAATCATATAATAATATCACTACCAATTAGAAAAACTTAAGTATTGGGAATTTATAAGATAATAGTTGATATAAACTTTCCAAAATTCTACTGAAAACTGGGAGGAGTTCTAATGTTATCAGCAAAAATACTGTCAGTTATTTTCCATGAAGTGACAGGTTGACCTCATTCATTTTTAAGAAAATATCTCAAGCATTTTTTTAGATAATTTTGAGATTTGAGAACATATGCAAGTCTCAATAATCAGTCTGTCAGTCATTCTTTCAAGAAAAAAATGAAATTCTTTGTGGGGAGAAAAAGAGCTGCTTCAGCTTGCAACTCAGTCAGAAGTGCTTTTCCTGGAGACAACCATCTTATTTCACAATATAGCAAAAGTGCTTTATACACACTCTCATTTCGTCACATAAAATATTAAAACGTACAAAGGCAGAGAGAAAACGTTTACAAATTACACATCTGATTAATGACATGTGTAAAATATATTTTTAAAACTCTCAAAACTTAACAAGAAAACAATTTTAAAAAGAGCCAAAGATTTGAACAGTCACTTCACCAAAGACACAGAAATGACAACTAAGCACATGAATAGATACTCAATATCATCGGTCATCAGGAAAATGCAAATGAGACACCACTACATACTTAGAATGGCTTAAAAAAGAAAACAAAAAATGAAACTGACAGTAAGTGCTGACCAGGTGGTAGAGTAACTGGAACTCTCATGCGTTATTGGTAGGAATGGAAAATGGTACAGCCACTTTGGAAAACAGTTCGGCTGTTTTTTAAAACTAAACATATATTTATTTGCCATATACCCCAATAATTCCACTCCTAGGTGAGTAAACAGTAATTTTGCAATGACTCTTGAGAAGGAAAAAAATTCTCTTTCCTTACTTACCTACAGTTATGTACAATTTGACCTCTACTTGCTGGTTCCACAGCTCCCCTGGGATAGTACTACTGCCACCAATGACACTGCAGGTCAAAGTCGTGAGTGACTTTGTACTTGACCTCGTTTTCAGTGTACTTGGCACTACAGCCTTCATATCTATTTTCTTGAAACTCTCACTTCCTTGGGTTTTGTGACATTGTACTCTTCTAGTCTCTACCAGTTTTCTCTTTCCTCTTCCTCCATTTGGTCCCAGTGTTTCCTCCTCAGCAGCCTTTACAGCTTCTAGGTGCTCATCAACACTCACAAGTTCAACAGATGCCTTCTGACACCCCAACCGCATTTCCAGCCCTCACCATGCACCCAGAATTAACTCCTATATTTTCAGCAAAATTAATCATATCCGCCCTACAAAAAACAAACAAACAAAATGCAAGTATTCAAACAAAAAGATAAAGTGGGGGTTGGGAGATAAGAAATCTGCTTCCTTCTCTAACTTCCCCATTTTCGTAAACAGTGGCACTGTTTTCCAAGTTTCGAAACTTGTCTAGACAAGTGTCATCTTTGACTCTTCTTCCTCTTGCTTCTCACCTTGCACAACCTCTACATAAGCCCAATCATTAGATTTTAGATCTGGAAGGCACTTTTAAGATAACCAGTGTGCACTCATTGAGCAAATAAGAGAACTGGGGCTCAGCCATCTTGGCTGCCTGCCTCGAGTTCCTCTGATTCTGAGCACGAGGCACTTTTCACTACTAAGACCTATTCAATCTTATCTTCGCTAAGCCTCCAGACATATTCGTTTGCGTGTGTGGACTCAGAAGACCTGGGTTTGAGTCCTCAAAAGTTGTTTGATCATAGGCAGGTGAATCGTAACTGCTAGTTAAACTGCCTCCTAATTAAGAATTTATGATAGGAAAGAGACTAAATTTAAACTCCTCAGCTGGGTATGCCAGGTCTCCTCTTCCTCTACACTGGCCGACTTTAAGACCCAACATGATTCCTCATAAAAACAAATTTGGTTTCAGTTGGCAGGTTGTCTTCCCATCCTCCCATCTTCCCGGCTGGCTCTAGCTATTTCCCCAGCCGGGGAGAGTCCTGACACCTCTGCAAATGAAAAGCAGACATTTCCTTTAAGGCCCAGATCGAGACCCACTTGCGTCACTAAACTGTCCTTGACCAACATTCCCATTGGGACTCTGTTCTGTTTTCAATCTCCACAGCATCTCAACTCTACTCCGAAATCTTAACACACAATGCATATTGTCTTTCACGTATACTCTTTCATGTTCTGCATAGTGTTTTTCAAGCAGGACTACAATTTCAGGAGCCAAATATAGTATTAGGCATTCAATACATTTACAATCAATGTTTGCAAAGTTGTTTTTATAATGAAACATCTGATTCTGATTTTTAAAAAGTAGGAAATGAGATTTGACTTACATTCAATTGTACTGAACTAAAATTCTCTGCAAAAAAAGGATTAATTTTTTTCAGTGACTGTATCAATAAACAGAGTTCTCTCAACACACAATAAAACACAATACTTGCCTTCAAGGAGCTCAGATGCTAATGTTAAAAAGATTGTATATACAAACAAGAGAAGGATAGAGGATAATTAATACAACATAACACATACCATCTTGCTCATCTGCTTACTTATGCCATTATTTTAACACCGATCAAAAGGCCAGGAATGTGGAAATAAAACTCTCCTTGTTCAGGAACACGAAGGGTCGAAACCAGCAAAATATTAAAAAGCCACAACCTTCTAGCTTTTCACCCAGAGGACAGGCTCACGTGGTACCAATATACTCTATATTCCAATGCTCAATTTTGCGGTTTTCTCAGTGGCCTGTTTGATTAGAAGTTGCAAATTCTAAAGATTTACTACAAAAAAGGGAAAAAACTACAGAAACCCAAAACTTAAATGGGCTCACTCATCAAACAAA